TGGATTCGACATGGACATTTTGTTCACATGCACTGAAATCAGCAGACAGATCAACTTAATGCTATCATTAGTAACAACTTATAGAAAGAGAAAAATCGCTAGAAGCAAAGAATAAAAAGTACTGAACACTTAGTGATATCTCTTCTATATGTTGATGAATGCTGGACAATCTCCTCAAAGATGAAGCAATGGAAACTGTAGTTTGCAGGATGACAGAATTCCACAGACAGTGGCAACAGAACTTAAACTTAACAACAGAAAAAGACAGTTGAAACATTAGGGGAAAGGAGGATTGGTAAATTTGAAACTCACAGAACAAATTGAATGTAATAGGCCAGAGAAACACATCACTTAATTGCATTGAACATGTGAGCAATGACAAAGTTGTAAAGAAAATAGAAACACAAATTATTTATATTACAATCGGAAAGAGGCAGCTAATATTTATATACCACATACTGACTAAAGCAGGTTTAACAAATGTGAAACCCACAAGATCGAATTTAGGAAAGAAGAACAGATAAAAACAACGCATAATCTACGTACTGAGCATGCGCAAATGAATGGCCGAACAAGGTTTTAGGATAAATAACAAAAGGACAAAATTTATTAAGAGCTCCTATTGATCGGAAATTGTGAAGAGCCATGAACGCCGAAGTCCTCAAGAGACTGGGCACATAAGAGACGAAGAAGCGTGCATTGTATTATACAAACTTTATAAAGCTAAAAGATAGTAAAGCATTTATCATTCCATGCATCTGATGAAAACTTGCTTAACAGGCCAGCGTTGCGTATACCTTGTTTATACTCGATAAGATAAGTTTAAAACCGCTTTTTAAGATTGGCTTCGGTAGGTTATATAAAATGCGGATATAAAATGACTAAAATATACTCACCTAGGCCAGAATGTACCACGTCTATTTCCTATTTGGTTAGATGCATATCATTCTATCCAGATATAGATATGATAATCGGAGAAATTATAAATTGCACAGTGTCCCACATGTACGTAGATTTCTTGTGCCAAATATTCAACCTGTGATTTTATTTCTGATTCAATAGGTTGCACAATAATAGGCCTAACTTCTAGATGTGTGTTATATTCTGTTTCTTAAAGAAAATCATTGGAGACTGATCTTTGTTGTGATTGACTACTAGTGTTTCGTCTTTGCTGTCTAAAGATTAAAATTTAATATTGATTAGCTAGAAAACTTTATCTGCACGTTGATTTAACAAACACCTATATTAATTAAATCAGATTAGTTTGTTTTGTTTTTGTTTTTTTTTTTTCAACAGGAATACCAGGTTAGTGCCGAATGAGCTCATATCAGCCATTATTGACAATTTTATAGACAAGGGCCACCGATTTAAACACTTTAAGTATTTCGGAGACTGGATAAGCAATAACGCATTTCGTGTAGGAGAAAAGAAAATTGAACATAGAATAGGCTGCGCTAGAAGTAGTTTCTTCTAAAACTGCAAAACGAAAATATCAACATGAAAACTGGAGTCATATTCTAAAATATCCTCATCAGATGGAGGCAATCACATGGATGTCATGCACGTCACCAAACCCGTTTAGAAATATCTAAACTGCCAGCTGTATACTAAAACTTTCTAAGATCAATAGTGAAAAATGATTTGAGCGAATGAAGCCTGAGTATTCTGGCAATGGCCATCTTTCTTTGAATATTGAAGACTGGCGATACAGATTCCTAAACAAAGAACTGTACCAAATAGCAGAAACCACATCACCTGAGGACTACCAACAACAACAACAACAACAACAACTGAAATGGATATCTCATATAGCTCGAAGAAAAAATAACATATGATCAGGATATTGATGTCCCGCATAAAAGGCTAAGAAGATTAACTCATCAATTCAGTCATCGATTGCTAAATGTTTACATATAAGGAAACGGCAAATATGGACGTTACCATTAGAATCTATCTCAGTCGGTTCATATCTATCTATCTATCTATCTATCTATCTATCTATCTATCTATCTATCTATCTAAACCTGTTCTTTATCTATCTATCTATCTATCTATCTATCTATCTATCTGGCAAAGTCTGTTTGTTATCTATCTATCATACTATCTAATAGCCTGTTCATAATCTATCTGTGTAAAATCCTGTTCATGATCTACCTATCTATCTAAAAGCCTGTTCATTATATGTCTATCTATGTCAATTCAAAACTAACTATCTATCTATCTATCTATCTATCTATCTATCTATCTATCTATCTATCTATCTAAATGCCTGTTCATTAACTATCTATCAACCTATCGAAATAAATATCACATGTGACTAAAATTGATAATACATGTAATTCAACGAAGAAATAACCACGTAATCAAGATAATGATGTTCCATATAAAAGGATAGGAAGGAAATGGTGGAAAAAGTGTTAAAAAAACTAGTGAGTTTGAGAAACCTGACTTCCTAAAAATTGTTTTAAGACAAACATTTTATAAATTTCAATCGAAAGCA